GTGTGTGTGTGTGTGTGTGTGTGTGTGTGTGTGTGTGTGAGTGAGAGAGAGAGAATGTGCTTCTGTCCGTCTCTCTGGCCCCATCGGCCCGCTACTCTCTAGTTTGGTCTCATTTTGAACCGGAGCATCTGCAGATCATTTCCATACCTGATATGTTATGCTCCACTAAAGATAGGCATAATATGAGATGCATTCGTCCACGTTACCGTTATCTTCACAGCCATCTTTACTGTAAGGGAGCCGGTTAGTGACAATTGAGTGAGTTTCAACTCTTCTATGTTCGAGAGAGGAGAGGGAGACACGCCTGGCAGTGATCTTTACTCTCCTGACTGCACTGTTCTAGTTGCCTGTGTGCACTTGTTTAAAGCTGTAATGGATGCAGCAAAGAGGACAGCTTGACAGAGTGAAACACATTTCTGCTTTCACTTGACCTTTAAATCAAACTGCAACATCAGCGTTTCGCTTTGATTCATTTACTTTATGGGGAAAGTTTGATTTCAGCACATGGCCCCTCACTCAAACTCAACTCTTAGGACAGACGCACCGTATATTATGTCAGACTATACTGGAAGGCAGCTTTTTGTCACACTACGACACAGACTTCAGCTTTCAGTGTTTATCTAAGATGTATTACTAATGATACAAAACTAAAGAAATCATTAACAGAAGAACAGTTTCACAGGTTGAAAACAACAACAAAACTTGTAACGTGACAAAGAGATGGTGTCAAGTCTGCAGCGCAGTGTGACAGTCTGCAGCGCAGTGTGATCGTATGATTTGGTTGGTTGTGAGTCGGTGACGGTTTCACAAGTCAGTTCAGTGTTGATATCATACAATAATGAAGGTACACAGGAACACAGACTCATTTATTTTTAACAGTAGTTTCAACAATATAAAAGTAAGTGTCAAAGTTCTCTATCTAAGGGTTTCCAAAAGGGAAACTCACCGAGGTGAAAGCTCAGAAAGGTGAAAAGGTCTTTAAGTATAGGATTTGAAAATAGTTTACTTCCGGTGACTCATTGTTGTATCAAAAGCCAATTATGTTTCTATCCAAATTTAGCAAAAAATTTCACTGAATAACTGAAAATCGGCTTAAGAAAAATCGAATTAAATGTTCTTTTCCATCCACTACTACTAGATATGCAAATATAAGAAGTTGGTAAGTCAAGATAAACACTCCAGTCAGGTGCCATTAGACCATTACCAAAGAAGAGGGCATAACGAGATGTCGACAACGTGTCTCCTCATCGGTCGAGAAATATCTGATGTTTTTGTCAGTCGCCAGTTTTAGTTTCTTCCGTGACAAGTGATGTTGAAATGCTTCGTGTACATTATGATTTATTTGTTAAGCTTATTTCCATTGCACTTTGTCGCATGTGGCATTTATCGATTGAAAAATTTGAAATATCACCAAAAGAAGCTTCAACGCTTGATTGATGGAAAATTTTGTATTTCTTGAACACATTTACGTGTGTGTTATGTATGTGTGTCACTCCTTAACCAGAGAAGTGCATGTAGCTGTGACAGCATACCTTTTGTCCCCCCCCCCCCTTGCAGTATTAGGCTGGAAGCCAGCAGGGGAAATAAGTACGAATGAGAATTTAACAGGATTTTTTTTCAGCAGCGCTAGGGACGAGAACTAGTGGGCAGAAAGAGGGTAATGTTTTGAGAAATCGGACCATCTCCTTGTCTGTGTGTATAAGCAATTATGTACGTAATTGCAAATACTTGTTTTGTTTCTTTGTGGGGGGGCTTTTCTGTTATAGGAGCATTTCAAAAAATGTATGCACAGATTTTAGTTAAACTTTCAGGTGCAATTCAACAGCCAAATAGAATCACTTTCACGTGCTGTTTTCTTAAAAGTGTGTGTGTGCGTGTGTGTGTGTGTGTGTGTGTGTGTGTGTGTGTGTGTGTGTGTGTGTGTGTGTGCGCGCCCTGTGAAAGGGGCTTTGTTTTTCAAATGACCAGAGCACTGTTGTAATGCAGGCACTAATTCATGTTTGGCACATGGAGCAACGGGCTGTGCTACTCTAAGGGGTGTCCTGCTGGGTGACACATGATTCTTAAGAGTTTTTTTTTATCCGCACTCTCCCAAGTTGGGCATGCGAGGGATATACCTAAAAGTGTATGTTCATGCAGACACATTACACATGACCAGACAGTCCGTTTCGGCTATTTCCCAACATAAAACAAAAAAGGAGCATAAAACAGTATGTATGCAAAACTAATCAAAGCTTTAAAAATAAAAGAATGAAGTCCTTATTTGGCTTATACTATTTGCATACTTGTTTGTTTTTCAACCTTACGCTGTACTAGAATTACATGCATTTTTTTAACAATGTAACACATTAAGATTCCTACAATACCTTGTGTTACAATACATAATGTCGTAATATTTCAGTGATATATTTTGTGAAAATTGACACAATCCGCTGTTCTTTTAGGTTATGTATTGTTTCCTCATGGTGGATTTCATCTTGTTCTATTTTTGCTGTACCGCGATGCAAAACATTGAATTACATTGTAGCATATTGCATTCCATTGCCCTGCATATTGTTGTGAGGAGGACCAGAGCAGCTGCAAGCAGCAGTCCTTTTTTTCCCTTTACGGCTTTGACTGAGAGCTGCATGGGCTGCATCTCAAAACCCATTTACTATGCCCAATGCTTTAGGGAGAGACAGGTGGCTTGAATAAACGGATTGTGCAGAGAGATGAGGATAATACACAATAAACTCCCGCTGTCTCCCTGAACGACAGCGTGCGTGCATCATTTTCTCTCTCTCGCTGTGATGTACATGACCTTTCCATATGGGCTGCCTGGAGACATACCAAAGATATATGATTTAAATACTCAAATACTGAGCTTTCTGATGCCTCCTAATTACCAGCATCTGTCAGAGGGATGCATTTGTTGTGTGCGTCCGTGTGCGTGTGCGTGTGCGTGTCTATGCTTGTGGGAATGTGTGTTGTCATGTACATGCACTGCAGGATTAGTGCTTTCATTTGTACCAGCACATAGGTGTGAGTGTAACTTTTTCACGTGGTTGGATGTGGTCGGCTGGTTTCTCCGACGGGCTTTTATGTTCGGTTGTAAGACTGCCTTTCACGGCCTACGTGTATTATTTATTTTTAGTTGTTCACGAATTCAATGACCAAGCTTTTTTAATTTGTTCCTGCGGTTCACTATCCCCTGGTTTCATCCATATCTATAAGATTCACCCGAACACGTTCTTTAAAGTTGCAGCTTCTTAGCTGTAAACTCTTCTTCTCCCTTCAGTCCTCTCTGCCTTGCTGTTATTATGAGCATGTCTAAACTAAGCGCAGACCCTCGACTGGTCCATGGACTCAGCTATTATGTCGAGCCCTGACGTTTATCCCCCGGTGTTCTAGGGCTTACGAGGAATGGGATTCATTAGAGGCAGCAAGAAAAAAAAAGAAATACTGAATAGAAAAATTATTGGTTTTTTTCTTTATTTAACTTTTAAGACAAAGTGAGCCACACGTCATATCATTTAGACAGGCTCTGGTCAGGCTGTTCTCATACACTGTTCGTAGCTAAACCTATGAAAAGCAATACGCAATACACACACACACACACAGTCTACCCAGGGACAACTTTTTCACAAGATATCACTCTATTCCAAAACAAAACAGACAGAAGTAGTCAAAGTACAGAAGCTATATGTGACAATCTGGGGATTGAAATGTGAATATGTGTAGCACAAAACATGTATACACAGATCCACTTTACATATAGAAAACAACAGGTCGATGACCCGGTCAGGTTTTGACTACAAGTCAAGTATTTTAACATGCTCTGTTAGCATTAAGCTGAAAGTAACCCCGAAAGTGACAAGGTACAGCTTAGAAACATTTGAGCCGAGTCTGAAGATGTTGAGCCGAGTCTGTTGTGTCCTGAAATGGTTACCATGCAGAAGATTAACTCTTTTGATTACCTGGTGGTAATACTGTGCAGTAAAACCTAAACGTACTGTATTGGCGAGTACAGAGAGTGGTGTGAAAATCAATCTTTTTAAACCTGTGGCCGTCAACAGTTCTCCATCTCACTCAACTGTGTAGAAGACATACTGACTTGTTGACTTTGCTCAAAGTGTGAAAGCATGGTTTGGGTGGAACAAAATAAAAAAATCATGAATTTAAATGTAGTTTTAGTATTTCTAGGGCCTTTGTTCATGCGACGCTAGTGGCCTGCTGTCAGGGTCGTGTGGGTGTGATCAATGTCCGTAGGCAGCAGGTGCTGGCAGGGGAGAGCAGAGCTAACTGTCGAAGGGACTTTGGTCTTTTTCTCTAACATTTAGTAAAGGATAAAGAGTGGTAAATGTCACGGCTTAATAGAAGGTAGGGACAGACTTTTGGCACACTGTTTCCTGGTATGGAAAAGTAAATGCCGTCTATTCATGTTCGTTCTTTTGGTTAGTAGAGAAGAAATGTGAGAAAGGAGCTGTCTGAAGAGATCCTTCATTCCTTGGATAATGAAACTGAATCCAAAAATAGAATATACAGGCTGTTGTGATGCCAGTATGTGTAGGTATACTCTTTGTATATACAGGGAAGGGGTGATAAATATGAGCTAATGCTTTCCCACAACCATAATTTAATGAATAATGACATAAAGACAAGCAATCTGCTATCCCTTCAAATGTGTCAGAGATGACAAAGACAAGCTGTTAAGCTGTCCTATCTTTTAGAAAAATGCCTTCAATAAAATACCCAAAATGATGAAGGAAAAGCTCCTCAACAATAAACCATATATGGAAATGTCTGGTCCCATTTGAAAGGTAAGAAGTTAAGGACTTTAAAACCATTGTAGGTAAACATATTTCTATTGCGGCGTAAATGGAAATGCAAAAAAGAAGAAAAGTAAGAATTTGATTCTCGCCTACCTTTAACAGACAGCGTCGCCTTTATAGCATAAAGCAATGGATAAGGATGCGACTGCATGTCTACCACTACTCTTTACTAAACCTCAGGCAATCTCCATGTTTCCGCCAGGGCTCACTGTGCTCTACTGTCTGAGATTTCCACAGATTTGTCCACGCAAGCTGAATAGAGTGACAAACGTTTGTTGGTGTGAGTGTTTCGATAGAGCCACCAGGTGGCCACAAACAGCCAGAGCTCCCTGCAGTGCAAGTCAGCCTAACTTTAAAAAGATGGCTGCCGACTCCTTCGTCAGGTCCACTGGGACTTCCCAGCAGCCCCAACTTCACTGTAGATCGGCAAGTAACTCAAATCTGCTGGTTTTGGCAAAAAATAACATATGCCTTGTTGAAATATTTTAGTGTTGGTGTGACTGCAAACTGTGATGTTTGACTGCTTTGTTTCCACTTCGTTTATAGCCGGCCGTGTGTGTGTGTGTGTGTGTGTGTGTGTGTGTGTGTGTGTGTGTGTGTGTGTGTGTGTGTGTGTGTGTGTGTGTGTGTGTGTGTGTGTGTGTGTGTGTGTGTCTGTGTGTGTGTGTGTGTGTGTGTGTGTCTGTGTGTGTGTGTGTGTGTGTGTGTGTGTGTGTGTGTGTGTGTGTGTGTGTGTGTGTGTGTGTGTGTGTGTGTGTGTGTGTGTGTGTGTGTGTGTGTGTGTGTGTGTGTGTGTGTCGAGTTAAGGTGCATGTCGGTGCTTTGGGAACCTCGGAATTTCCAGAAAATCCCAACATGTTATTGTAGACTGAGAAGAAAATGATCCCGGATCTTTTGAACGTAGCTCGCTCTTATATTTACAAAAGATAAAAATAGGTTACTTTTTTGTTTGTTTAAAATAATACGTAATAAGACTTCGTAACCCTAACCCTAACCCTAGCTTTCAAAGTCAACAGACTTTGAAAGCTATTAATTTGTGGGAACTGATTGGGTCAATTAAAGAAACTGCACTGAAACACTCTTGGTCAGTTAGGGAGGAGCACCCAAACAACTTTTCATTTCAGTTTATATCACTACAATAAACTGAATGCAATTAATTTGAGGGCATGACTTGAAGGCTGAAGTATTAATTTATGCACAATAGACACTATTACAAATACACCTGACACCTGCTGGGCTCCATAACAACGTGGGGACATGTAAAATGAAAATGTAATTAAAAGTAAATGTCCACCACAGAGTTAGTAAAGGGTCCGTCTTGTGCTGTAATACATGTGCTTTGCCCAACACTTCAGCTCCAAATGCCAAAAAACATTGCCAGAGAACAGAATCCAGAGAGGAATTATGATTTAAGCAAACTGTATTTGGCAAGCAAATGAGTGTGAATGAGACGGGACACAGGGTTGTGTATCAAAGTCAATCGTGTATTCATGTCCCACTACGCCATGATATTGTTTCAACACAACACTAATGCAGCTCTCAACTGTTAAACGCCGCTAAATGATTTTGCCATTTTTCATCATTTAGGGATTACAATTGAAAATAGTTGATACTACAAAACCTACTTCCTTAGGCAGCTTAAGAAATACAGGATCGAGCAAACAGCTTCCCGTTCTGTTCGACTGAGCTTTCATTGAGTCCATCGTCACATCTTATCGTACGGTACATACTAATGTCGAGGAACATTGTGTAACAAATGACATGTAAGCATTCATTTACCATGGCTTGCTCTTTGTCTTCCAGACATTGATGAGTGCGGTTTGCAGACACACACCTGCTGGAATGACAGCGTGTGTGTGAACCTACCGGGGGGCTACGACTGTGTGTGCACATCTGGTCCGGGCTGCAGCGGCGACTGCCCACAGGAAGAGCAAATCAGACGCAACGGAGAGGACTGGAAACCCGGCTTTGACCGCTGTGCTCTATGCTCCTGCAAGGTACAGAAGATGAACTCACACATTTGAATTTGAACACTAAAGACGCTTTCTCGCTGGATACATAAGCCACTAACACGCACCGACATCTGGCATTTGCCTTCAGTGAGAAAAGTTAGGATCGGCATTCATTCCCTGGACAAATTACCCTGCAGAACTCATGAGCATTTATCGGTTCTTTCTCCGTTTGGCAGTGAGCTCTGCTTCTATTGCCAGCCGGCGCCTCATTTCTGTCAACGGTAATACCAGAGAAGAAAAAAGACACGGCCAGTGCAATGGCACGGCTCTCACTACTCGTAAGCGGAAAAGAGTGTATCGCCTATTTTTAGTGGGTTTCCCATGTTTAAAAAAACCTGCAATTACGCTCTAATTTTGGTGGAAAACGGCTATGAGTAATACTGATGTTCACAACCTAGTGGATGATCTGAACTCAGGGTTTGCCTCTAAGCTGCTAATATACGTAGACTATCAAGAATAGTCTACGACTTTTCAAGTCAAAAAGGTGTGAGTGCGTGATACTGAAAGGATTTTGGTGGAGACGTACTTGGCAATCATCTAAAGACCATTCGGGAACTAAAGACAGAAAAGATGTCAACTAACTGTAATTTCTCTTTTGACGTAAAACCAAGGTCAAGCGACTTGACACGACATGCAAGATTGATACTTGACGGCCCCTTTTTAGAAATATCGTATCTATTTACGTCACTTTATTCTTTCACCTGTATGGAATGAATACGATATTCAAGAAAACCCATGAGCAGCGTTGAGCACAGAGACTTTATGCCATTTTTATATTCACTGTAACAACATCAATATACATGCAGGAAATACATGCAGTGGCAGACGGGACTGACTCAGACATTGCTATCAAAGAGAAGAAAGACCAGCACACAAAAAAAGACAAAGGCTTAGAAATGGAAAAGAGACGGGAAGAGTTGGATAAATTAACAATGAAGAGAAGAAATATTCTCAAAAGGGGAATGGAGCAAGGAGGGGGGGAAAGCTGGTAGGAAATATGGAGGAGTCTTTCTTTTGATTGCTTCTCTTACTTTCATTTCAGTAACTTAATACAGTTTTCTCCACCTGAAAAGCCAATGCTATTGCTAGTTATTTTCTTCCTTCGTTGGTTATGAAAACACTATATACTGGAAGAAGGCAACGGACAACAAAACGTGATGGGCTAGATGCAGTCTGACGACCAGCCAATAGTTTAACCCGACCATCTAAGACACCCGTAATAAGCCCTCATTGCACAGGGAAGCTGTATACGCACGACCACGGTACGCACAGTAGGTCGGAGCTGAACCTGGAGGTCTGTGCTCAGAAGTCAGAGTGAGGCAGTGTGGCTGCAGGAGAGGGAGATATTGATCAGATTTATCTTTGGGGAGTCGCGGCTCAGTGAGTTAGATTAATACAGAACACGGGGGGTTATTTTGAATGAAATGACAGCTGTGGGCGATCGTTCCAATCATGCTTCATCGGCTCATAAAACTCCAAATGTACCAGCAGGACGTTTCACATGAACTAATCCAGTAAGTACTGAAGGTGAACTAAAGCAAATTCTGTTCGTGTTCCGGGAGAAATTAAAAGTGAACGTTTGACATTAAGTCACTTGGGTCAGTAGTCAGTCAAGTTAATGTCAACCACGCTCTTTTCCTGACCCTCACTAAGTGGTTTTGTATTATTATTGTATTATTACTATATTGACACGCCTCCAAAACTGATGCTAGAGTACTGAGCAGGCTGTGGTACATGAGAATGTGTTTCAGCGGAAGGAGATTTGGAGCATTTTCAAAAAAAACAACTTTGCAACAAGTTAAAAACAAATGTAACAAAGCAATAAATATTTACTTGTCGATGATTAATTATTGCCAATAAGTATAGGTGTTTACATACATTCACATGATTTATACAAGTGAGCTGTTCCGACAAAAATAGACCCGCTGTGTGAAGAAATCGACAAGTGTGACACAAGTGTGACACCAACACTTGCTCTGCAAACAATGAATGCCTCCAGGATGCACTGCCTGGCTGGTTTTTGAGTCGGATGTTCACTGAATGTAAACAGGCAGTGATCTGGGCTCCTGCCGACTGTGAGGCAGCCAGGGAGTTACTGTGGGTTTTTTAAGGAGGAGAGAAATTGACGGTAATCAGGGTCAGAAAGTACAGACCAGTTGTAAATGCACATGAAACTGTCGATTTGGTTTGTTGAACATGAGAGGAAGGTTGATTGTTGTAATATGATTGAAATTTGTGGATGCCAGACAGGGCAAGTGGAAAAGATAGAAGTGCACGACGGGACGAGGGGCAGAGCAAGAAAGGGTTTTTAAAAACTGCCTAACACACGACGTCAAAAGGTTGAAACTTGAGAGCAAAGATTTTCTATTCTCAACTTTCACCAAAGTTTTATTTCAAGCTAAATGAAAGGAGACATTTAGTTGAATTAGATTTCAGAGTTTGACAAACAACCCACCCTGGAGAGGAATTCCTCATCTGAAGACTGTGTTGAAAGCAAGTCGTACCTCTGGATTTAAAGGGAATGTCATCTGAAGTGATCAAATTCATCATAACGTTGTTGCCATCAAAGTTGCCATAAAATACGACGTAATGATGTTGTTTTGGTTAGCGCAGCATTAGTATTCACGCCCGGTCTTATTCCTGGCATTAAAATGAACAGTTTGCCTTCATGCGTCCTGCCTGCACTGTACTGTACTGTTGGCAGTGCTTTCCCAGCAAGTCAAGGGCCATAACTGTTAAGACCAAGGCCTTCGGTATGGGTACCGTGGGACTCGGTTGTTACTGTAGCGGGACAATATGCATCGATAAAACATTGGCTCTGTATTGCCCTTTTAATGGTATGCGGAACGATTTTATGGCGCCCATACATTTTCCACCAGCCATTCCATGCAACATTTTTACATCTCCATTACAATTTCGTACCCGTGCCAGACAGTGCTGGCTGTGGTGAGTAAAATGGACCATAAAGTTTTCCCTGGGTGGAGATGGAGAGCCAGGGACACGGCGGCTCGGGGAGGCTCCCAGGTCTGGCAGATTTGACTTTGCATTCCGGCCCAGACGCCAAACTTCTAACGGATTCTCGCTTCATTCACGGCTCTCGTAAATTGCTGGTAGAAAATGGAGATTTGAAAGTTGCTAGAACCCATTAAAAACCTCCAAAGGTATATGCTGGCCTTGAATTATCTGCCTGAATGACCCAATGTGCAAAATCGTTAACAAGCTCTCGCTAAAGGGATCAGATCTGCATCTTGATCCTATACCAAAGTCCAAGGGCTTTTTGAATACGAATACTGATGTGTTTAATATTTTTGCAATTGCACTTCCTTCATATCAAAAGAAATGTCCGGCATTCAGTGTTGTTTCCAGGATTGTACTCTCTTCAGAGATTAAAAAGGCTCTGTAATGATACTTTGGGCATCAGGAGACCCTTCACCATAACTGGACACTGTGACTTTGCCGTGCAGGACGGGCAGACGTACTGCAGGAGGAGACCCTGTGACTGCGGAGACCCGGACGAGGATCTGTTTTGCTGTCCCGGCTGTGACAACAGGCCCAGCAGCCAGTGTCTGGACCAGAGCGGACGCACACTCTACCGCAGCGGGGCATCCTGGCTGTACGGCTGCCAGCAGTGCCGCTGCATGGTCCGTACACAGAAACACACACATTCACACAGAAGCTACATTATGTTTTTTGCCAACAGAAATGAAAGCTGACCATATTAAATCCCTACTTGTTTGTTAGAAGAAACAGATGACACCAAAAACACAGAATCTCCTCATCAACATGAAGCTCAGAGCTCTGCCTTAATCCGCCTGCTCAGCTGTGTGTGCGGAAGGCTCAGATAATTATCACCTCTCTAATTAGAGATGTGGCAACAAATTAGCTTGTGAGCTGTGACTGTTGTCAGATCAGCTGATTCTCACACACACACACACACACACACACACACACAAAAACAAGACCGTAACATTTGTGTCATCTTTCTGTTTTGTCCCACCTCACTCAGGAGGGGGAGGTGGACTGCTGGCCTCTGGTTTGCCCCGCGTTGATGTGCGAGTACACGACGGTGGCGGAGGCCGAGTGTTGCCCGCGCTGCGTCACAGACCCCTGCCTGGCCGACAATCTGTTGTATGACATACGGCAGACGTGCCAGGACCCCGCGGGCGCCGTCCGCCTCAGCGGAGACACGTGGCATATGCTCAACTCACCCTGTACCACCTGCAAGTGTAAGGTAGGCAAAAAGCAACAACAACCACAATGAAGGTTTGGCTTTACCGTGCAGCATTCTTGGTGATAAACTGTGTTTTAGAGAGTCTATCTGATGTGTGATGAGGATATGCAATGTCTGCTTCTCTGTCTTCCAAGATGAATAAATGTGTTTGTCACAGATGATGTAAGGTACATGTAATCTTGAAAGAGCAAAATATGCAGATCACTGTGTCAGGAACATGTCGCCATAACTCAGATCATCTCCACACATTTGCTAAAAATGATCTGTTGTCCCGCAGCTACAAGAATTTAAGTTGGCCAAAAACAGCTCAACAAACATATGGCCTGGACACATGTCAGGTTATTTTATATGTGGTTACATGAACTGAATTTTGCAAAAAACAAAATTTAAAAAAATCGGGTCATAGGCAGCAACAGCAGCAGCTGGTGCGCTCACTCATGCTGCGGTCACAGCAGGTGGTTATAGCTACTGCACTTGTGGAAGTTACTCTGATCTGCTTTTGCTGCATCACCTTTGGTAAAGACAGAGTTTGCCTCTGACCAGCAGGGAACCTCACTTTCAGCCAAGGCTGATGATGAATGACCGGTGAAACTTCCCCAGCTGATTACGTACATTAAGACAATTTTCTTTTGTATTACCAATTTTCTGAAATGGGATGTTTACATATACAAATATACATTTCCGGAACATTTGTAAGTCTAACTGTGGAGATGTTTTGGCTCCGAGAGAAAAAAGTAATTTATAAAATGGCCTTAAAGATATGTATTGAAAACCATACAGGTGAATAGGGAAACAACTTCTACTGATAGATACAACCATGAATCTCCCCCAGTTGATTGCCTACATTAACACAATTATTTTTTATATTACAAGTTTTCTGAAATTGTATTTTTAAAAATGCATATATTTTGGATGTTTTCTTTCCACGAGAAGAAATGTTATGGAAGCAAAATAGCCCAAAATCTATCTGTGCATGAAAAAGCAATGTTTTGAGTGTCTCGACTGAAAGGGTCAGTGCAGCCAAATTCCAAACCTAAATATATATTTGTTGCATCAAGTCATGCAGATTTGAGTTTTTGAGAGAATGGCCCCTCTTTTTCTTAGTTAAAGTAGTAGAAAGTAGTTAAAATTAAGTGTGTCATTGTGACAGTGATTACAAGCAACATGTACAGCATATTTGAATACACAACAGTATATTTACAACTCTCTGTCTGCTCTTTCCTGTCTTTTCATGCTGCTCCGCTCAGAACGGGAATATTTGCTGCTCGGTGGATCTCGACTGCCTTCAGAACAACTAAAAACAACTCCCCTCCTCTCACTGCGGGACTGCCACGCCCCCTCCTCCCTCTGACGACTCTCCCCCGGATTCATAAAACAGACTCACGCACACACATGTGCATGCCAGTGTGTGCACAGAAAATACGAACATGCACTGGACGGACTGGGGTGTTGAGGCTGTGCTTTCATGCCGTAACTCGACAAACCGTTAGAGCGTGAGCGAGTGTATGTGTGTGTGGCTCAGGCGGAGACTGAGGCCGTAGTCGCTCTATCCACAGTCACTTAGTTGTGTTTGTGTCTTTGTGTTGTTCCCATTTCACTAACTGTCTTGAGGAAAACTGTTTAACATTACGTCCCGAGCCCAAAAACAGAGACACGCAGCTGAATTACTAGCTGGACAGATGTTGAGGTGCTCCAGCTGTTTATGTTGCAACATGTCACTATTGCTTGGTCACCTAGCAAATCATCATCTAAACATTCAATATTGTGGTAACCAAAAGTACTGCACCCTCATTTTATATGATGTCCTGTTAAGCAGGAGATAGTTTGATGTAGAAATAACAACTTTGAAAAGTAAAAAAAATGCTGTTAAGTCTAATAGTGTAGGTCAGTTTCCAACTCAACACAACTTCTCTCATGGGAGCATAGACTGTATATAATGTCCATGTATCTAGATACGTCCGATATGTCATAAACCCTGTTCAATCTTAAATTTAATCTTAAAAATGTCATTGCAGCCCTCAGTATCTATAGCAATTAGTACTACAGTGATATAGCAATTATAGACTTGAAAAAGTACAGGTTCTGATGATGCGTTTCGGCCTGTGGCTTTTACCAGCGTCAGGGCCACATTCTGAAATGAGTTGCTCTCATAATTAAGTTTTTCTCAATTCTACAAGTGTTACTGGAGCTTAGCTTTTTGACAAGCAGCGCCTGAACGCACCATAAGTTTTGATCTCGGTGAGGCTAGACCTTGCCATTTGAAAAAATGGCATGGTGTAACTTTCTGAAGAGTAACTTTCTGAAGGAGACAATCCGACAAAAACACCCACGTCAGGCAGTGATTGAACAGGATGGGCAAAAGAGAAAGCATGCAGGGTTTCTTAGTCTTTTAAGAAACCCTTTTCTGAGGATTCTTAGGGTTTGGTAGTCTGAAAGTGCGCGCTGTCATCCCCATTGTGGTCCGCCCATCTCTCTGATGCCTGTTGCGCGCGTAGACTGGCCGTGCAATGCTCCAGTCTTCAGTTCTTTTAAAATGACCTGCCTACGATGAGTCACATCCCTCAAGAGGATCCAGGCTCTGAATTCGGACATAGCTGTAGTCTGTCGGTGCTGAGCCATTAACCAACACTTCCCCCTCAGTCTCAATGTCTCCTGTTTGATGCGGTTGACTGCCAGATAGCTAGTTATAGCAAGACATGATATCAAAAAGCATGATAAAGCAGTTTGATGGTGCACAACAGATTCCTGCAGGCCGGAACAAGCTGGCAGAGCTCGAGGTGGGTCCGACTTCTCTTTGCTGTCTCCCGGGGCTCCTCAGCTCTGAACCATGTTGCGCACACAGAGAGTGGCACAGAGGCACATAAAATGAAGAGCGAGTGGGGGGGGGGGGGGCCTAATTAAAGCCATGTCACGAAGGCCTGGATGTGAGTATGCCAGGGGGTCACCAGGAGTCGAATGTGTTTACAGACAGCCAGTCTTAATAGGGCGGCAGAGTCTGGTGTTTCTCCTGCTGCAGGTCACACATTCACAGCTCTGACACCACTGTGGTCCCTGTCCCTGTCCTCTCCTCCACACCGCTCTTCATTATCCTCAAGCTTGTCTCGAGAGCGCCAACGTTTCCCTCAAGTGTCGTTGTTATCACCCTCACTGTCTGTTTTTATTCCCACAGAAAACTTGGGGACACTGTCTCAAAATGTTGTGAAATGAGCACAGACTTTGAAAGGTGAACTGCGTGTTGTGCCAATCTGACATGCCAGGGGAAGCCTTTTGTCGGGTGAAATAGTATTTAGTCAACTTTTGTTATACAGTTCTTTGTGAAAGCACTTAACAGTTTTTTTAGGCAAGTCAAATCATTTCAGAAGGATAACTCGTTTCAAAGCTGGAACCAACGCTCAAGGTCTTCTCTACACCTACTTCCCTGGTTTCTCTGCACGCCGTCAGCATATTGCAGATATCACGACTCAATTTCCCTTTTCAGAGAAAAACTGTTCCCACAGATGAAGATAATCCTTCAGAGTGAAAATGAAACATTCATTTGGTTTCATCAAAGCTCCTTTTTTTTTATGTGAAGTAAGTCAGCTGCTGGAGCTCTAAAAGACACTGGTATCTCCCGTCAAATATTGGGATGATACCGGAAAGCCTAATGCAGACTACACAACTTTGACTGGGATTTTCCCATTCCAAACAAATATTTAGGATCTGAGACAAAAGCACCCTCAAGTGGCAATGGAATCCACGCCTAACTAACTGATGAACAGAGAGATAGTCCACATATAGCAGGCAGGAAGGGAGGTGGACAGGTTAAACAAACACAGGACTTTCACCCAGGAAAGTGCTGTTCATGTCCCTGTGTGAAACTAAAAGTCATCGTTGACATTCTATCACGTCAATCACTAGTCAGTCAAGTTAACGTAAACGGCACTCTTTTCCTAAACCTAACTAAATGTTTGTTTTGAAAAGACACTATGCATGTAATGGGTTTATATCGTCACGCCATCTCTGCCATGTTCAAAACTGACGCTAGAGGGGTACGTAGTGAGTCATAGCTGGAATATTACGATCATTCCTTCAATCATCCAAATGGCGTAATCTCATTACTACACCTTATCTGACACCAGCTGTGTCTTTGTTGTCTGAGGTAACCTTGATCTCTGGAGTTAACAGTAAATGTCTCCTCCATCTCTCCCTCCCTCCCTGCTGACCTTCCACTATTTAATGTCAGACTAGTTTTGAGGATATTTTTTTATACTTTGGCTCTCAAACACGGTGCTCATTTCACAAACCTTTTTGGGAAAGGCGATTCTGGTTGTTTAACCCCCCGGGGGTCGACGGTGGCGTGCAGCGAGGTGTGCCGCCCCTCTGACCTCTCTGCCGCAACGTCCTTGTGCCGTCATCCGTGTTTTTGTCTCACTCGAGCATCTCTCCGTGTACTCTCCTCCATCGTCACAACGCCTCTTGTAAAACTGAAATCGTCAACTGTGCACAGAACACACCCACACACACACACACACACACACACACACGAAAGAAAAACAATGTATGTAAATGGTATCTGTACCCATCAAAGTTAAACACAGCAATCGTAAGCAGACATTTGTACAAAGGATCACTGAAAACAATGTTTTAAGATTGCTGTTGATTGATTTGATATGAATTATGATGACTACTGTAAAACACTATTTGCAAGTCTGTGTGTAAACGTTTTTACATACCGACGATATGATAAAATTATACAGTTTTTTAATTCTCATTGTGTTCATGAATAACGTGTTCATTTCAGTGGACTGCTTTTCTTTCTGTGGGATAGGTTCTGTTTTGCTGTAAATACTGTGTAAAGTGACGGGTTCTGTAAAGAGAGTAAGACTTTGTGAATAATTCTCACTAGCACAGCTTCTTAGGATCCGAGCGTTGCAATTCGAGTATGACAGAGAAGCAACATTTCTATTGTTTTTACTATTTCTTTATTTTTCTATTCTTGCCTTAACCCTTTTAGTATCGGTCATAGTTTGATGTCTTTTCACCGTTCTAGGACGACAGTGTGGATTTGACTAGCCTTGTGTGTATGTACAGATCTCTGATCAGTCTCCTTCACTAAAAGCTGAGAGAAGCAGAAGTGGATTCTGGAATTCCCAATGAGCGTAGACCAGCGTCTGTCTCGCGCGTGTCAGACGAGGAGCCTGGACAGACTTCACTTCACATCTTCTTGTTTTTTTCCAACACACGTCTGTTTGAACTGAACTGAAAATATCTTCCTGAGGACCAGACAAAATGGGACTATGTACACATGTAAAAAAGAAAAAAAAAAATCTAATGTTGAACATGACAATGTGGTTCTTGATTCAGTTCCTACTAAAAAAAAAAAAAAAAAGCAAGCCATTGTGTTACTCCTTAAACGTCTGACTTTTTCAAGGAAGCAGTTCTGGATCTTCTAGATCCTGATGTGCTTGTTCATGGTTTTGATAGAAGACCGTGGCGGAGGAATCCACCTGGTCTGTTCATAGTCTCTTCTCCAGATCAGAGTGGCCAACCTAATTGTACTCAAAGGGTTAAGTGTCATTTGACTTGAAGACTGTGTCGTGATAAGAGTTTGCTGTAAAAAAAAAGAAAAAAAAAAAAGTTATTCGGTTAATAAATATTTTACTTGTTTACTTTATTTGCATTCAAAGTGTGATGATGACTGGCAGCTGAGCTCACAGGTTGATGGGAGGTGAGCCTCACCTCCAGAGTAATTGCAAAAATAGAGGACAATCACGAGAGACGCCGATATGGTTCGCCATCACGCTCCCCACCGGCAGCTTAAACGAAAGCAACGTTTTCCCGAGCCTTAGAAATGAAAGTCAATCCCAGCGTTGGGATACAGTCCTGGAAAAGTCTTTCATGTTTCTACTTATATCAATACTGCTGTTTTCCATTCCCCTCGGGAAATGTGTGAAAGGCTGCACGGCAGTGAAGATTAGTACATTCTTTTGATGCTTTAAACGGAGCGCTGCCGTGCTGCTAACAGGAGCCGGTACAGCAACGCTTTTGAGGCTACATCGTCGAGGAAAAGAGAAAAAAAGAAGGTGAAAGCTCCACAACATGAGACCTGGTGTTTTATATTTCCCTGCAGCGCCACAATCGATGAAAAATACACACACGGAGCACATTATGCAAAACACACAGATGCAGGTATTCCCAAACTAGTAGAAGCTTATTCTTAGATACATGAAATTACGTCTCCTCTACTTGTGCCACTGTTAAAGGGAAAACGAGCCACCTTTTATGTGGCTGTCCAATCAGTGTTGATAGTAAATGTAATTAATTGAAGCTATAAATTCCTCAGTATTGCCCGAGAAAGGAGAGTTCTCCTGCTCGCTTAGCCGTGCCTGCACGTACCACGATGCATTGCGCGCATTGCAGAAGCGGTGACCAGAAATCCAAGTTGAAATAGTCATCGATGTATAAAGAGAGAGGTAGAAGAGGTGTGAAGGTTTAGTCTTCGTCTTTAGACGGAAATGCTTCCTAGTTTAACTCACACAACAACTCAACACATTTTAGTCACCAAAACGTCATCGGATTTTAGTCGTTACCTTCAGTCCAAATGTTTTCTTTCTTCTTTGGTCTCAGTTAGTTACATAGGTCATATAGAGGAATCACTTTTAAATTGAGACCGTTTCATAACCAGTAAAATGTCTTCAGAGAAACTTTAAAGTCGCCTACAAAATGTGTTCACAAAGCATGATAGCAGTATTATAATTATTCTTTAATTTCAGACGTAAATGATTGAATTGCAAATACAGTTTAACAAATTCAGCCCGATGAATATGGTGCCATATCTGGAAACTACTCCAATGTATAACAAAGATCTGTGGGTTTTAATTATGCTCTGCAATATGCCAAGCAAGACGTCACATAAATGTTATTTGTTTTTGTTTTTTCTGGTTAAAATAACACCTAAAAAGTATGGAAGACTTTGATATATACTACTGCTTTGTTGTTGAGATAAACAACTGATTACCTGCAATGAATCTCGCATGAACACACTAGAGAATATAGACTTTGAATATTATACAGGAACTAATCTGACATCAGTCCCCATGTGTTTTCTTGAATATCTGCTTGGCACAGATCAGTATGAACGTCTTTATCTTAGACGGTGAATTGAGATGCCTCTGGGGGGGGGGGGCTCTCTAGTGTGCAGCACTGGGGAGGGTTCAGTCAATTAACCTGCTGTCAGTCAGCTGTAGAGCAAGTGCTCTCTTGTTCTCTCCACTCCGTCTGTCCCGGTCACAGTGAGTGGTGGCCCTGCACTCCGCTGTCCATCCCGGCTCCGCCCAAAGGTGCTTACCATTCATGGACTGGGACCTTTGAGTTCGCCACTGAGGTGATGGAGCGACTCCCTCAGCAACAACTCATCTACTGTATAGATGCAGAGGGGGAGGATGATGCAGCTAGCATCTATGCATTAATGGACTGACTTTACAGCATGCAGGTGAAAATTGTCATCCCCCCCCAAGCAGTCAAATCGATCAATTTCTCCTCTTTCTATTGACATCTCACGAAGGCCCCGGGCAGCCGTATATTGAAATGCAAGAGGCAACAAACACAAGTGCTCCACCTGAATTAAGGCTGAGAATTAATACATAAAGTATGTGCATATTGCTCATGTTATTACAATGACGATTAAGCTGTTTAAATGCCTTATCGACATCCTGGCCAATCAATGGGTGTATAATTAAAGAGTGGAGCTGAGCCAGTGACAAGGCGAGCAGCAACGCCACTATTGACCTGTGGTCAGATGCAGCTAAGTGTTTATTTAACCCAGTGTCATGGTGTGTGTGTGTATTTAATATATCTATATGACCTAGTGACCCTGCCTGCTTGCCGATTTTCCTAAGTTTGATTTGATTCAAATTCTTTTTCTTTACCATTTTTGGATGTCACACCATACAGAGTGAAAAGAGTCAATAATCACAAACACAAACACCATTACGTTATTCCATGTTCAAGCAACTGTGAAATTAGTAAACCAGGTGGAGCTAATAACAGAAACAGGAATATCAGTCTCTAATGGCATACGGGTGGTTAGCATAGCTTGAGGTGTTGAAGGTATTGATATTCAGAGTCTGCTGTGGGAGAAAGCCTGTTCCAGCATGTGAATAAATTGCCTACTTGGACCTTTTATCCCAGCACTGAGCATTCTTCCCTCCTCTTTGTGTAGTGCAGGTTCAGATCTAAAGAGGTAGTCTGAATATACAATAGATGTGAAAATTAATGATTTCTTTTAAATAAGAGTGGGCAGCGCACCATCCCGGAGTATGAATTTTTCATAAAGCTCCTGGAAAGATGAATAAGGTGGAGCAACATGAGACGGCGCTGCGAGAGATCTAATAAATACACATATAGAACTGGAAAGCCGTGTATGCATTATCAGATTGTGGTGAAAGACCCAAGCGAGGATGTTTGAGCATGTTTGCTGTATATACACCTCGGTTTCATGAATAAATAAACAGATAAATGAGCCACGTCATGTCCGTCACACATGTAAAGGTACAGCTACAGTGGGCCCACTCACTGTGATTATGGCCACCTATCACAGTGGGCCAGATGAAATGTCTTGGGCACTTTTGTACTAAATACACAAATCTTTCAGTCAGTGACACAAAGAGATGGTGACTGAGTTAATGTTCTGCTCGATGGTAATTATCACTGTGCTGTCGACCTATTAAATAAAATAACAACAGAGCTTTAGAGTCCATCATGAAGCAATTACAAATAAAAGGCTGTTAAATTGAAGAGACAAAAAGTTAAAATAGTAAAAAAAGATTTTACCAATAATTTATGAGATGTAAGCTCACCTTTGGAAGGGGGCTGTGTGTTTGTTTTTTGGAATGGTACAAAGTCAATTGGCTAATCTTGCAGATGCTGGAAAACTGTTACAAAGTTTAAGGCTTCTACTTTCTACTCGCGCCAGTTCTCAGTCACATGTTGAAATGAGATAAGAGCAGAATCACAAGGTGAGCTCTGAGATGTAGCCTGGAGCAAAGCTTTTAACCGCTTTCAATCTTAAAGCTGCATTAATTGATTTCTGGCCACCAGGGGGCAGAAAAACACACGTACACAGCCAACACCCGATCCCTGACATTGTTCGCACACAGTTGCCTATTTACACATCCAGCAAACAGAAAGTAACTGGCAGCATTCTTTTGGATTTGTGCTTATGTCCACCTCACAGATGTCTCCCTCACTTTCCTTCTAGCTCTGGTTTTGTTTTCAACTTCTGATTAAAATACAACATCTGTCTCATTAGCTGTTAAAACCTTGATTTTCCTCTGTTTGCTAACGTCTGTCTGCGGTTTCCCACACT